TCTGCGTGTCCGGCAGAGCGCTGCGGGCTCCGAGATGGTCCATCTGCTTCGCTCCGTAAAGTGTCCGAAACGCGGGCGCAGAGGAAGGGCGGGTGTTCACCGTCCTCCGAAATACACCACCGAGTCCAGTCCAGCCTCTTCACACGACTTCCTTTCTCCCCCTCTCCCGAGAGCTCTCCCTCCCCACACCACCTCCTGCCCCTGCTCTGGCACATGCTCTTCCCCAAACTTCCACTTTAGCGCCTTGCACCGACTCTCCCCCTCTTTCAACCTATCTCTTTTAGGACTCGATCTCCTAAAAAGAAATTCCTTTCACCCTCCGCAAGCAGGGTAAAGGGAGAGGGACACTGGGCTTTGCTCCCCAGGGATGCTCAGAAGGTATCAGACCTAACTGCTCCCCATGCCCGCTCCTCCTACGGCTTCCCACCCCTGTGGATCTGCTGGTGCCGGAGGAGCGCGGAGCTCACAGTGAAGCCCTTCCCGCAGTCAGCACAGGCGTAGGGCCGCTCCCCGGTGTGGATGCGCCGGTGCTGGATGAGGTGGGCGCTCTGCCGAAAGCTGTCCCCGCAGTCAGCGCAGGCGTAGGGCCTCTCCCCAGTGTGGACCCGGTGGTGCCGGAGCAGGGCTGATCTCCACAGGAAGCTCTTCCCGCACTCGGTGCACTCGAAGGGGCGCTCCCCGGTGTGGAAGCGCCGGTGCTGGATGAGGTGGGAGCTCACGGTGAAGCTCTTTCCACACTCAGTGCACCCATAGGGGCGTTCGCCCATGTGGAACCGCCGGTGTTGGATGAGGGCTGAACTCACGGTGAAGCTCTTCCCACATTCGGAGCACTCGTAGGGCTTCTCCCCGGTGTGGACCCGCTGGTGCTTTAGGAGCTCCGAGCTCTGACTGAAGCTCTTCCCGCACTCCGCACACTCATAGGGTTTCTCCCCGGTGTGGACCCGCTGGTGTCGCGTCAGGGCTGAGCTCACACTGAAGCTCTTCCCGCAGTCGCTGCACTCGTAGGGTTTCTCCCCGGTGTGCACTCGCTGGTGCTGGACAAGCTGCGAGTTCCCGGAGAAGCTCTTCCCACACTCGGCACACTTGTAGGGCTTCTCCCCGGTGTGGGTTACCTGGTGCCGGATAAGCTTCGAGCTCATGCTGAAGCTCTTTCCGCACTCGGAGCACTCGTAGGGCCTCTCCCCTGTGTGGATTCTCTGGTGCTGGATGAGGTGCGACCGCTGCCGGAAACTGTCCCCGCACTCAGCACAGGCGAAGGGTTTCTCTCCAGTGTGGATCCTTCGATGTTGGATGAGGTTGGAGCTCACCCGGAAGCTCTTCCCGCAGTCCCCACATATCGTCAGTCTTCCCACAGAAGGATTTCTCTGCTGGATAGTATCTGGCAGCCTCCTGAAACTTTTTCCACGCAACGTCACTCGGCTTTGCCTCTTCCCCAGAGGTCTCTGAACCCTTTCTGACCTGCGTGGGAGGACTGGGTCCTGTGCAGGCCTCTGGGAACTGTTCTCCTTGGAGAGACCTGAGAGTAAATCCCCAGGCTCCACTGGCCCAGGGATGCCTTGGTGGGCGTTTTCCTCTTTCTTGCTCACAATCCCATCTTCAGCTGCAATAAAATGAGAATCCAGAGAGAAGTCACAGGCAGGACAGGAAACTTTGGACAGGGGAAATCAAAAGGGGCCAAATTCTAAAAATTCATCAGATTGACTTTAAGTATACGAAGTTCTGATAGTTCCCTCCAAACTACACAGTGGATTTTTCTGAGTGTTCACAGGAACAAACCCTGGAACTAGCCCCTCGTGCTTCACCAGGACCCGAAGCTACTGAAGTTATTGGCAGATTAGAGGTAAAATTTTAGCACTCGAATGGGAAAGATGGCTGCTCTTCCAGGATGTTGTATCTGAAAACGGTATTAAAAGTTGAACTGGGGGTCAGAGGAGGGCCCTAAAGAACTGCCTTGTTCAGCAGAACATGGGCTGCAAGAGATACAACCTCCCTGCTCTTGTGCTGCTATTATTGGCAGAGCAAGAGCAGGTGCACAAAGGAGACACTGGCCCTAAGGCATGAGACCCAGAGACGGCCTGGAGCCTGGCTTATGGCAATCTTAGAGCAAAAGAAAGGTAACTTTATGCTTTCATTGGTGCAGACCAAATCTGTTGTGAAAGGTGCTCGGTGAACTGAAGATCCTCCATGGCTGATTCCAGATAACGTGCTGAGGAAATGCGCTAAATGTGGAAGGTGAAGGTAGTGCAAGTCCGTGAAGTAACACTACCTGAAGAGTTACGAACGGCTCCTGGGACGAACACATCCCTGCCCTCTTCCTCACACAGAGTCTTGCAGAAGCACAACCGGGATGAATCTATGCTGTGCAGACTCAGGCTCAGCTGGAAGCCTTCCCAAGACAAGGGGCTTGCACAGATTTCCAGGGTATTTACACAGAGCAGCGACTCCTGCCAGCCCACTGCTCTAAAGTGGTTTGATGAGCATCCCAGCGGGTTCAAAAGCACAACAGTGCCGTGGCTTTTGCTGCCAGTGGGGAAATGCAGCTCCTTGCAGGCTCACTGAGGGCTTACACACTAAATGGGCAAGACAGGACCCTTGTGGCACGCACCCTTGTGCTGTCAGGGAAGGTGCAATGGAGAGGGACGTACGTGGGATGTAGAAATGGCGACATGCATCTCTGAAGAGAGGCATCACATCTAGGTTTAAGACAGAAAAATCAGGGAAATAGATTTCCAGATGATCTCTTTATATGGACTTCCAGGGCTGAAAGATGACTTGCTGTTGACTATATGTAGACCCAAAATACGGAACAGGCTGAGGCCGCAAACACGTAGACCTCCAGGTTTACCTATTCAACGGCTACCTCCTGGTTCTCTGAAAACTTTGGTGAAACAAGCAGGGAACATATCAGTCACGTGGGACTGATGTACAAACCTCAGGTGCTTCCTGTGGTCTGGCACAGTTGTGATAGGGAAGTGCATCCCTTACTTACTGAACCATAAGTATGCAATAAAGGAAGGAGAGTGTAGAATTTCAACCCAGACTGATTACGTACACACTTAATCTTCCTCTTTCTAATCAGAAGAAGAAAACATCACAATACGATTTCACAGCAAACTCCTGAGATACCTTTTATGGCAGTTTGGTGTGGTACTGATGCCATTCTTCCCTCATACAGTTTTCATTAAAATCATCCCCTGAGAGGAACAGAAACTGGAACTCTGCTATTCACCAGGAGGCATTCCCATTTGTCTGCAGCTATTCTACCCAGGCCTGGAGGAAAAGAGAAAGGTGATATCCAAAGACAGGGCAAAAAGAGGACATTTCTGGCAGGCCAGCCTGAAGCTCTTGACCCATACGTCAGACTCACTGAGTAGACGACAGAGCTAGTGAAGTTGTGCTGTTGCAGTTGTGCCCAAAGAAATATCCTTCACCCACCCTAGCTTTGGTACGTACACAGGATTTTGGTTCTTTACACAGAACTTGAAAAGGCCTTCAAAGTACATGAGAATCAAGTCTTCTGTGGTGTTCTGTACTCTTTGGGGAAGGTCAGGAGTTTCAAGCTTCTCATTACAGCGATTATAGTCACGGCTCCAGCTCTCAATTTCTACGACCATTTTTGTTCCTTCTGAGCTACTATCTATCTTCACTGGCACCCAGGACAAGTTGTCTGTAAAGGGTTTGATCAAAATCATGATGACAGGAACTCACTGGAGGTATTTTTAAGTGGAAAGAGAGTAGGTTCACTATGCTGAGGAATTAATACTGGAAGCACAAGGCTGAACTGGCAAAAACTAATAAGCAAGAGAGATAGGAAGAATGTGCTTCTTCCTCAGCCCATGCCAATTTGGGTTGATGGTAAGACCTCTGATATGCCCGACTGCCAGTGCTACAGCTACAAGGGAAGCTCCAGGTAAGCAGAGTAAGTATACATATTGGGAGAAAACCTAAATATCACTTTAAATGTACCTTGGATCTCTCTCTCTCAAGAGAAGCAGTAGAAGGAGTTCTGGCTGATGCTGTGGCCTGTCTAGCAGCAGCAGGAGGACACAGCAATCGTCTCCAGCACCAAATTCAAGAGTTCTCAACCCATGAGAACTATTAAAAATAACACATCACCCTCACGAGTAAGCCTCAGGCTGCTGGATGACAGCAGACTATGCTGGGGAGGTGTCCCTGTATGCTTATCCCCTTCCCTGGCATCCACTTCTAGCCAGTCCCCGAATCCTTGAGACACAGCTCAGAGCTACAGAGACCTTTGGACTAAGTCAGCAGGGCTGTTCACACAACCTCAAAACACTGCTGGACTCCTGACTGTGGTACCTCACTGCCGGGGGACTGGAAGGTGGCTGATGTGATGGCAGAAAAAGGACTCGAGGGGAGATCTGGGGCCCAACATTCTTAGCAAATGAACAGAAATTGGAGTAAGAGAACTAATGGACAGACGGGCAGAGGGCAGATTGGAGAAGAGCTGGCGTGGCCTTTGGAAAGAGATGTCTCGCTTCACAAACCACTTCGAGTTCTTCAGAGATGTCACCAATTTAAGCAAAAGAGGGACCTGGAGTCCAAACGCATTCACAAAAGACATTCATCCTTCACTGAAACTGATAAAGAAACTAAGCTGCTGTGTGATGAGTGACCCTCAATAAGGTGGTAAGGGAGGGAAAGGGGAGGTGGAAACATCTGCTGATGATTCTATGTTATTCAGGGTTAAAGCCACAAAGGCTGACTATGAACTGTGGCAGAGCCTTCTGATACTGACCAGCCCAGGTGACAGGGGAATGACAGGGGACATTCACTGCAGGTAAACATAAAGAACTGCAGAGTGGAACAGCCTCTATACCTCACACTTAGACCAGGAGGGGCCTAGGATGTTCTTGGAATCATTCAAGATTAGCACCTCGGCGTTAGAGCAGATGGATGAAAACTGCAACTCCTTGGCAGCCAAAACAGCTAGTCAAATGTTAGTGATTGTTGGGACAAAAGACAAAATAAGAGAGAGTGTAACTGTGCCTTGCTGCTCAAACCCCACATCCTGACTGTGTGCAAGGGGGAGGATGGATCCCCCATTTCAGAGAAACTCTAACAGAGATGAGGAAGATACAGAGGCATGACACGAATGATCAAAGGCACGGAACAGCTTCTGTATAGGACATGATTCGTCTGCCCATTCTGCTGGGAAAGGGTACAGCTAATAGAGGATATCACAGAGGACTGTAAAACACAAGTGGCCTGTGGGGTGGGTAGGGATCCATGCTGCACCATCTGTTCTAAATTAAGAATACTGACATCAAGTGAACTACTAGAAGGCAGCTTCAAAGCAAACCAAAGGAGGCAGCGACTCACAGAACAGCTAAATAAGCTGTGGAACTCTCGCTGCAAGCTGTCATGGATGCTAAAACGTACACGACTTCAGAAGGCGAGAAAATACACAGAGAACTGCAAGATACTGAGACATCGCACGTCTAGTTCAGGAGTTTCTGAAGCCACGGATTGCTCGGGCCTGGGAAGGCACACTGGGACACACCACCGCTCGCCTGCTCTTCTCTGCATCTCCAACACTGGCCATTGTCAGAGACAGCAGGCAAAGCTGGGAGGACCACGGTCCAACCCAGTACCAATGCTCTCGCACATCCTGGTGGAATTTGGGGATCCTGGAGCAGTGTTTCTCACCGACAGGTTCACAGATGACTGCACCGGCCCCTTACCTGCACAGGTGCCCCTCAGAACACTCTTCCCTTCGCAGGCGCGGAGGTGGGAGAACCACAGTTCCTCCTTCTGATCCGTGTGGGAGATCATCTCCAGCTCCGCTCCGGGGGTCCTGCTCCGGGAAAAGAAACGGGGTCACACCAGCTGGGCTTTCGCTGGCTGCTACGAGCAGAGGGGCTCCTGCACTTGGCAACCAGCAACTCCCCGCCGCGCAGGGACCCCAGCTCCGCGGGGCGCACGGCGCGGAGCACCGGGCTCCCCAGCACCCCCGCTGCCTGTCAGCGTCCC